CTACAAATTTGATCTTAAAACTCTTTGAGAGATGCTCCAACAATAGTTTTACCTTTTAATCAAATTCAAGGAGAAAAATCTTATTCATTGAAAAACTTTTCCCAAGGGAATCACTGGATCTTGAAGCCTGGCCACGGCTGACCAGGTCTGAACCACCCGTTTCCCAGTGCAGTGGTCCTGAGGCCTGACTTGGCAGCTGTGGTGTCCTGGGCTGTGGACTTGCACCTAAGTAGGGAATGTCCACAGGGGCCTTGGCTGGTGCCCAGGGTTCATGTGAGGCTTCCGGTGTAAGGAGGCAGGAGCAGTGAATGCAGCCATCCAGGGATGGTGGGACAGGCAGGACATGCAGCCAGTCCCTCCACATGGTGTGGTTCRTACACTCCTGGGCAGGGGACCCATTTTCAGGGCAGAGAGGTAACAGCTGTAAGGTCTGCTGCAGAGCTGCAGAAATGGGAAAAATCATCCAGGCCAGTCAAACACGGTTCAGGAGTCCCTTTTCTTTCTCTCACTCTTCTCCCTCCCTTGCTCCCTCGCTCCCACCGCTTCTTCCTTACCTCCTGCAGTGGGGTCTCCATGGGTTGCCCAGGATGGTCTGGAACTCTGGGCTCAAGTGAACATTCTGCCTCAATCTCCCGAGTAGCTGGACTACAGGCGTACCGCCTTTCCCAGCTTCAGGATTTCTTAAAAGAAGAATGTGTCCCCCCAGAGAGGAGAGGGAGGATCCCATCATCAGCTTCTCTTAGCTCCAAGAGTTTGGGTACAAGGAGATGTCAGTGCCTTTGGTCAGTGTCTAAAGTCCCTGTTCTCATTAAGCGGCTGCTCTTACGACCTCTGCCTGACCTGGAGCCATCTGCCTAGAACACTGGTTCTCAGCTGGGTACCACTGCCCCCAGGGAACATTTGGCATCATCTGGGAGAGAAAAAAAGTCATTTTTTTCCTGGTGCTGTGGATCAAGCCCAGGGCCTCAAGCATGCTAAGCAGGCACTCTACCCCGTCCCCATCTGGAGACTATTTGAATGCCTGCCACATCTACAGAGGAGCTGGTGACTCTGGAGGGTGAGGTCAAAGGTGCTCTGAACATCCTTGGGACAGTCAGTCCCCTACAGCTAGGTAGGTGCTGGAGTGAGAAAACATGACCCAGAGGTCTGACCTGTGCTGCGGTCAGAATTCCACGAAAGATCAACCTGGACGTTGGGGTGGGCTAAGGTAGGCATACTCAGCCCTACTGGTTGCTGGTAAAAGCCCTGGACAGAGACCCAGTGCAGTCATCCCACAGCTTGAGTGTCAGTCACAGTAAGCAGTAAGGGCRGGAAATCATGACTCCAAGTAAAACAAAGGCGGCTGTGAGTTTCTTGCTTTTCACTTTTTCCTCCCATTTCATCCAGTGAAGGGCCATGTGAATCAGGGGGCTGCACGCTGGAGTTGGGTTCCAGAAGGACTCAATTGGGGGCGGAGGAGCAGCACCTGGAAATCATCCTTGTCCCATCCGCCTCCTGCTTCCCTCCCCTCCCCTCCCCTCCCCTCCCCTCCCCCCCCTCCCCCTCCCCCCCCTCTGCCTGCCAGTTCTGCCCAACAGTGGCAGCCAGACACACTGCACTTGTTACTCACTTTGGAAAGGAAAGACTAATGAGCAAGAGGTTGAAAGTTTGATAAAGTTAAGACTGGGAGCTCAGGGGAAGGGTATGCAAGGCCCTGGGTTTGATCCCTTTGAAAAGGTTTAAAATAGAGTCTCAAAATCAACAGTAAAAGGTAGAAGGCTAAATAAGATAAATGAAAACAGTAACGATGGAGCTGGGCACAGGGTACTCCCTGCAGTTTCAGCAGCAGGGGTTGCAGGTTTGAGGCCAGCCTATACGATTAGTAGGACCCTGTCTCAAAAAATTTTAGGAGAAAAAAGTAGTAAAAGTGGTAATAAAGAAAAAAGGAGGTGCACTGACTTACTCCAAAGTAGGGGTGGGGGGAGATTGGGACATAGCARTGATAATTATAAGCCAGAATTGAAAGATTAAGGGAGCCTGACCACACACGTGCGTTATGTAATTCACACACCCCAAATTGTGAGTGTGGCRAGTAAACACATTAGGCAGTTAAAATAAGGCCCCTGCGCTGTCTGGCACATCTGACCCCACACCTTGTCTTCCCATCTGGGATCCTGGGAGGCCCCCAGAGAGCAGGGCCCAGCGCACACCGCCGTCTGCCACAACAAGTATGCATGGTCAGGTTGAGCTACCTCSCCGCCTTTCCTTCCCTGAAGCCCAGCTGAATTAGATGTGTGCACATTGACACACATTCTCTCCTCTTGTTATTTGGGCCATATTGACCGTTGTACTTAGTCCATCCTTCAGCCGGGCACATGGCCCATGCCTGTGATTCCAGTGACTTGGGGAGGCTGAGGCAGGAGAATCACAAGTTTGAGGCCAGCTTTGGTAACTTAGCAAGACCCTGTCTTAAAATAAAGAGGGCTGGGGATGTGGCTCAGTGGTAGAGCACCCACCCCTGGGTTCAATCCCTGGTAACAAAAAAATGTAAAGATAAAGAAAAAAAACATCCTTCATAATCTCTTCTCCTGTATGTGTGTGAAAGTCAGACCGACACTAAGGATCAAACCCAGGGGCTCTCTTCCACTGAGCCACATCCCCACCCTTTGGTTTTCTGATTTKTTTTTTTATTAGACCATTACAGTTACGCATAATATTTGGGTTCCTTTTGACAACATTGTACATGCACGGAATTTGGTTTCAATCCCGCTCCCCTCCCTTTTCTTCCTCTCCTCTCTCCCCCTATTTTTGATCTTCCTTTCACACCTTCATTTACCCATTTTTTTATTGGTACTTTACATGTACATAAAAGTGGTATTTCCTTTGGAGCTTTTATGTGTGTGTATAACACAATTCTGTTAGATTCTGTTAGAGACAGGGTCTCACTACGTTGCTCAGGTTCTTTTTTTTTTTTTTTTTTAGAGAGAGTGAGAGAGGAGAGAGAGAGATAGAGAGAATTTTTAATATTTATTTTTTAGTTCTCGGTGGACATAACATCTTTGTTGGTATGTGGTGCTGAGGATGGAACCCAGTGGCTCACGAAGCATGTGAGGTGAGCACTCAGCCACTGAGCCCCAGCTCCAGCCCCATGCCACGTTGCTTTTTACTTTTTTTTTTTTTTAATTTTTTATTTTTTTAGTTTTCGGCGGACACAACATCTTTGTTTGTATGTGGTGCTGGCCGCACGCATGCTAGGCGAGCTCGCTACCGCTTGAGCCACATCCCCAGCCCTGCTCAGGTTCTTAATAGGTTGCCAAGGCTGGCCTGAACCTTGGGACCCTCCTGCCTCCTGAGTCCCTGGATCGCAGGCGTGAGCCACCCTGCCCAGCTGTCCTGCTCTTGTGCACTTCTAAGAGCCCATTAGTGTGGGGCATGTGGCTCACCCCAGTGATCATTGAAATTCAGGAGGCTGAGGCGGGAGGATTGCAAGTTCAAGGCCAGCCTAAACAACTTAGGGAGATGCTTGTCCCAAAACAAAAAAAAAAAAAATAAAAGAATCAGGGGATATGGCTCAGTGGGGTCAGTCCCTAGAATTGCAAAAAGAACCCCCTCGTTGGATTTGGTGGTAGTCACAGGCAGTGAAGTAGTTTTCTGAGAGAAATGAARAATTATTTTGAGGTAAATTTATACCCCTGCTTCATCCCTTCTGCCTGCAAGTGGGTTGTCAGTGTCCTGCAGCTTCTGTGGACACCTTAGCTGATGGAGATCCCAGCCACGGGGACTGGCTTGTCTGGGCCTGATCGGGCTGCATTCTGAGAGCCACATGAGGGGCTTGGTGTGGTAGCCATGTTGCTTTATTTATTTATTTATTTTGAAAATGGGCACAATATCTTTGTTTTATTTATTTATTTATTTTTATATGTGGTGCTGAGGATGGAACCCAGTGGCTCACGAAGCATGTGAGGTGAGCACTCAGCCACTGAGCCCCAGCTCCAGCCCCATGCCACGTTGCTTTTTACTTTATTTTTTTTTTAATTTTTTATTTTTTTAGTTTTCGGCGGACACAACATCTTTGTTTGTATGTGGTGCTGAGGATCGAACCTGGGCCGCATGCATGCCAGGCGAGCGCACTACCGCTTGAGCCACATCCCCAGCCCCTTTACTTTATTTTTAACATGTTAACTTACACGTTAGTGGGGTTTGTCATATGGCTACACATGCAATGATCCCATCAGGGTCATTTCCTAAGTGCTTGTGAGCTGTGGCTGCCCCTCTGCTGTGGAWCCCCTGGGTGGAGTCCCCACTGTCCAGCTATGTTGTCCCTGTGACCAGCTTCCTCCTTCCCCCTAGGAGTCACTACTGTGCTTACAAGTCAGCTTTAGCACAAAGTGGGCACCTTGAGACCTTGAGACGGAGTCTGAGACTCACAGAGAAACAGGCAGTGGGGAGGCTTCTTTAAACCATCTTCCTCCCAGTCTCCCACTGTGACTAGAAGCCAGTGGTAGATGAGGGCACGTTGTGTAGCTTCTCTCTCTTTTTTATTTGTTTATGTATCATATGTGTATTTTAGTTGTAGTTGGACACAGTGCCTTTATTTATCTTTATGTGGTGCTGAGGATGGAACCCAGTACCTCTCCTGTGCCAGGCAAGCACTCCACCCTGAGCCCCAGCCCCAGTCCCAGCTCCCATGTGCAGTCTCTCAGACCTCTGTTCCTCGCCCTGTGTGCTCTGAGCTCCAGGCGAAGCCTGTGGAAGCACTTGTGCTGCCTGGTGGGGCGCCTGCTCTGTGGGCAAACCCCGGTCACATTCATGAGCTGAGGGTGCAACCCAGTGCCTTACATGTGCCAGGCAAGCGCTCCACCACTGAGCCCCACCCAGCCCTATCCTGTTGTGCTCTTGGGCTCTGGGGTTTTCATGCTAGATGACCACTGGGGTGGGAGTCAGTGAGAACACCTGTGTAACCTGACAGATAAGGACAGTTACCCTCTTGCTTCTTGGGCGTGACTGTTTTCCCATGCGTAGCACTGTCTCTCTGCCCTGTAGACATCATTGAAATGGATTCGAAGCGTGTGCCTCGGGATAAGTTGGCCTGCATCACCAGGTGCAGCAAGCACATCTTCAATGCCATCAAGGTCACCAAGAGGGAGCCCGCTTCTGCAGATGACTTCTTGCCCACGCTCATCTACATCGTGCTGAAGGGCAACCCCCCACGCCTGCAGTCCAACATCCAGTACATCACCCGCTTCTGCAACCCTAGTCGGCTGATGACCGGGGAGGATGGCTACTATTTCACCAACCTGGTGAGGGCTGCGCTCAGTATTGTGCAGGAGACCAGGAAGGGGGTGCTCCAAGGCCGTGCGGGTCACTCATAGGCCTACAGCCGGTCCTTGCTCACAAGGGAGGAGTAGGCATGGCTAGGGTGCTCACTTTGTGTCACAGAGCCCTTGTGACCCAGAGTGTGTGACTCTACTGCAAACAGAGGGCACAGCCCCACCTCTATAGGCATCACCAAGGTCCTGGGTGGGCTGGGAGTCACTGCACTGGGCTGTTTCCACTCTGAGAGAGTCCAGTCTTCAACAGTAATCTTTTTATTTATTTATTTATTTATTTATTTATTTATTTATTTATTTATTGAAGGAAAGGGGAGAAAGGAAGGAGACTTTGTGTGTGTGTGTGTGTGTGTGTGTGAGAGAGAGAGAGAGAGAGAGTGTGTGTGTGTGGTGCTGAGGATTGAACCCAGGGCCTTATGCATGCAAGGCAGGCAGGCCACCAATTGAGCTGAATCCCTAGCCCTGTATCCCCCTTTTTTTTTTTTTTTTGGTACCATGAATTGAATTCAGGGTCACACCACCACTGAACCACATGCCCAGTCCTATTTTTAGAGACAGGGTCTCACTGAGTTGTTTAGCGCCTCGGCATTGCTGAGGCTGGCTTTGAACTCATAATCCTCCTGCCTCAGCCTCCCAAGCCACTGGAATTACAGATGTGTACCACTGCACCTGGCTCCTATAATCCATTTTTAAAACACTTGAAACAGTAGAATGAAATTCACCAAATTATACTGTGTACATACATGAATTCTACCCTTATGTGTATCTATAAAGTACTAATTTTAAACAAAAACTGTAAATAAACAGAAGGAAAACCAGTAGAGAGGAGGAACAAGGAGGGAAAGGGGAAGCACTGGGGACTGAGTGGAGCGAATTCTGTCCCATGCATGTGTGACTGTATCTGTTCCTGTGTGTGCCTGTAGCGCACCAGAGCAAGCCCCAGGAAGCGATGGGGGTCACTCGGCCTGCTCTGCTTCCCCCGGCACCCTGATGCCACCTTTGTCTGGAGTTGGTTTTGTCCCTTGGCTCCTACCACCCACTTCCCCTTGTCCCTGTGTGGCCTTGGTGTTTCCCCCTTGAGTTCCTCCCTGGCGTCTGTCCTCCACTGTCTCCTGTGCTGTCTCGCCTGGTCACAGAGCTCTGCCTGTCTTGGGCTCACACAATTTGCTGAGAGCTGAGACTCTTTCTCTTCAGTGGCCTTTTCTTTCCCGCCCTGTGTCCATTCACACTCCAGGRGTGTCAGGATCTCCTTGGGTTCCCTCCCCGGGCAGTAGGGGAGTGGCCACACAGAAGTCAGTTGTGAGGGTGACACATGCTCCTTAGAGGGGTGACTTGCTCTGAGCAGTAGTGTAGGTGGGTGGGTTTCTCAGAAGATGTTCTGAGAGTCATCTGTTTCTCTCTTTTTTGTTGTACATACTTTTCTTGTGAAAATAGCTTTTTCCCTACTTCTTTTTATTGGCGCATTATAATTGTGTTGAAAATAGCTTTTTAAAAAATATGCATCTAGTATATGTCCCTTGTAGAAAATTTTAGTCAGTATGAGAAAGCGGCAGGCCTCTCCTAACTGGGCCTTCTGTGCTGGCCTTGGCTGCCCAGTTGCTCYCCCCTGCAGAGCCAGGAATGTTAGAGCGCCAGCAACTCCCCCAGGGTTACACAACACTGCTGTTCAGGGACAGAGGTGACAGCTGACCACTGATGTTAATACCTCTCCAAGGACCAGAGGTCTATGTGCATCAGGGTTTCCAGGATCCACAGGCACCAGCTGCCCCTGCCTGGCCAGAGCTCTGCAGGGAGTGGCTGGTGGATCCCTGCGAGCTGCACACAGGCCTGGACCTCCTGGGAGAATGAAGGATGGACCTCCTGGGAGAATGAAGGAAATATGGTTGGTGGTTTTTGAAGCTGACATACATGGAGGTTCACTCGTCTGTGTGTTTACTTTTGCTTCCATTTTAACTTCTCTGTGACAAGGTTTTAAAAATCTGTTTGAATACTTACAGCTTGTCTAATCTGACTGTAATACCGTCCTCCTCTTCCTGCAGTGCTGTGCTGTGGCTTTCATTGAGAAATTAGATGCCCAGTCTTTGAATCTGAGTCAGGAGGATTTTGATCGCTACATGTCTGGCCAGACCTCTCCCAGGAAGCAAGAGCCCGAGGGCTGGTCTCCTGATGCCTGCTTAGGTGTGAAGCAGATGTATAAGAACTTGGATCTCCTGTCTCAGTTGAATGAAAGACAGGAAAGAATCATGAATGAAGCCAAGAAACTTGAAAAAGACTTAATAGATTGGACAGATGGAATTGCAAAAGAAGTTCAAGACATTGTGGAGAAATATCCACTGGAAATTAAGCCCCAAAGTCAACCATTAGCAGCTATTGACTCTGAAAATGTTGAAAATGACAAACTCCCCCCACCATTRCAGCCTCAGGTTTATGCCGGATGAGGACCTGACGTGGGAGTGTTGCTCTAGGCCTGCAGCCTGCAAGCGGGGTCTGGAGTTCGACTCCATTGCTTATAGATGCCAGAGCATTTTTAAGGTACAGTTCRTGGGGGTGGTTTGTTTGTTTTGTTTTGTTTTTCCGGGTAGGAGAAGCTTAGTTAATAATAAAGTACTATTTATTTGAGTTATTGAAACAGATTCATTTAAGGCTTGTGTGGAAACTTTGCCTACACCTTCTTTTCCTCCATGATTTTCTGTGGGCCTCCTCAGTTCGCTGTGGTCTGTTTTTGGGGAGTAATTGCCTTCTAAAGGGTGAAACAAGCAAATGCTGTCAAGTTGTGTTTAAGAGAGTCCTCTGTTACCACTGTCCCACGGTTTGAAGGAGTTTGTAATTGTAAAGGCAGAAGAAATGTTGATAAGTAAATATGTAAAATTGTAAATATGTATAAAAAAAAGAACGGGTGTCTGCTGCACGTGGCATTTCATGTGTTTTTTTAATTTAGTTTCAAATGAACTCTGTGGGGTGTTTGTCTTTAGCACCATCTTATTTGGTTTGCCCACCCAGAGGAACCCAGGAGCCTTTCTGTGTACCCCTTGCACTGTGGACCTCATCTTGGACAATGAGGTCAGTGTAGCCGAGGCTATGACACCTGAGGTGACACCAGTTGTCCTGAGTCACGGCCACTTGCTGGTTGTCTAGGTGGTTGGACATGAGCTGGCCCTGCTGGCACCTGCCCCTGTTCAGCCAGCAAGTCTGGCTGGCCCTGGTCAGGGTGTGCCGGGGGAGGTGGGTGTGACGAGAGCTGGGGGGAGCCCTCAGCAGGGCTGCGCGGGGTGATGGTGCCCCTCTGCCTCCTTTGGAAGGGCTCTCTGCAGTGCTGACTGGCCCTGGCCTGAGAATGTGGCCTAGGGCTGCCTGTGCTTTAGGGGTGTTCAGCAGCGCTCCGGCCCTCCGTGCCCACTAGCAGCAGCAGTCCCTCAGGGCTGTGGAAAACTGACCACTGATCCCATTGAGAACCACAGGCCTCTCGTGAGCAGGGGAAGCCACCTGGTGGTCCTCACCGTGGGGCTCTGGCTGCCTACAGTGTGCAGCCTTCGTCCCTGACCAGTGATATCTGTAGGTGTCAGGGTGCTTGTGAGATGGTGAGTGGTCCCAGGGCACCATCCTGAACAGCGTCCTCCACAAGCAGTCAGGTAAGGCCCCTGCTCTCCCAGTGCCTCTGAGAGCTCACTGCAGGTCTGCAGGCTGGTGATTCAGGAATAAAACAGGGTGAATGTGAACTCTTCACCCTTTAACTGTACATATAGAACCTGTCCCACTCGACACAGTTCCTGTCCTCAAGTGCACCGAAGACACGAAGCAATCGAGCCTCCTAGTCACCAGTTCTCAGGGACGGTAACAAGTCCATCTGTGCTGGTGAGAATCTCCCTGAGTAACGTGGCCCACAGGTTCTGGTGGAACGCTTTCCCCTTTTTCCTTTTTGTTTCGTATGTAYTTTCTAGGTGCTAATCCAGGTGTACAGAGTCTTAATTCTCCAGGAAATACAGTTGATGGGGTTGTACATGATGATTGTTAAATAAAATATGCAAATCAGCCTCCCACACAAGCTGATCTACTTGGGTTTCTCGMAGCTCATTAAAGTAGCTGGAGGGTCCCCATGGTCCAGCTCTGCAGGTGGGACTCAGCCGCGTGCAGGAGGTGTGGGTTGTCTGGAGTCAGCACCACGGCGCCWGGGTTTCCGCTCTCCATGGGGAAGTGTGGTGTGTCATGTCCTTTAGCTGTCGTGACTGGAAGAGCCTTTGATAAAGAAGTCCTTCTCCATGGACATTCACAGTCCGTCCCTCTTCCATATAGGTCGACTTTGGTTCGGTATTAGGAAGACATACATTATTTCTGACGTTTTCAGGTGACGAAGGTGTCCTTTTTGAGCTATAGTCAACCTTTATTATCCTTAAAAATGGAACATTAGAGAAGTTTTCCAGCTAAAACTTAGAGTGTGTCAGGAATATCTGCTATTTCAGTTGACATTGTGGAAGTTCTGAGGCAGGATAAAAGAAATGCAAAAGAAAGGAGACAAAGGGCAGAGAGACACGTGAACCCGAAAGCCTGGAGCTAATGCACCCCCTTCCTCCAGGCCTCTCACRCCCACACTTCTGGGAAATCTGTAAATGTGGAGTCCCTGGAAGTTCACCCACTTGTGAAAGTCACCTTGTGCACCGTTRGTCAGCCTGTGCCATGAACAGATGAAGCAATGGCGGGACACCGGCTTAAGAACCCTGTTGTCCAGGGACTTTAAAGCATTGCCTGCTGATCAGGTCTGGAAGACCACATGAGCCCGAGGAACCTGAGGACACATCAGGCCCCAGGACCCTGGGCGATTACCAGACCAGGGCACCGCACTCTGTCGCCAGGCCCCTTGTCCCTCAGCGCACATCGCCTGCCCTCCTCAGGTGGTCTCTGCCTCTGCTGAGTGTCCCTAAGTCCACTTCTGTGCACTTTGTCCAGGACCTCACTTGCTCCAAGCTGAGTTCCCTCTCCAGCCCTCCTCGGACCCCTGCTGCTGACAGCTCTACCCAAGGTCAAGTCTTCAAACAGAAATGAAGGGAAGGTGGTGGAGGGATGAGAAGTTGGCAGGTGGGGAGGACCTGTGCTGCAGAGCTGAGAGGCTCGCCTTTGGTTTTGGGATTTTTGTACCATTTTACAACCTCCCATGAATTGATTGGCRTGAAGGTGGCCAAGGAATTCCAAGTTGTTGCAGAACACGATATTCTTACTGCATCAAAGTGTTCTCTACATGATAAATTTAAAGGGAAAAACTATTAGAACTCTTCAGATAGAGGGGTCTCCAAATTAAAAGGATTTAGTCAGCCATTACATAACAAGAATTTTGAGGCTGCTTTTGCTGAAAACATGGGACTCTTCCCTTGAGRCTGCAAAATGTGGAAAGAAATTTACATTTCTCCCTCTGTTTTGCTTCTGTCTCCTCTGTGCTGAGCCAGTCAGCTTGGATTCCAGGAGCAGCAGGTCTGGCCAGAAACATCTTGTAATGAGTAGAAACTGCCCAGCTCCTCCCACCTGCCACAGCCACCTTCTCATCCCCAGACAGTGGTCAGCCAGACTGCCGTAGTCGGGAGGCTCCTGTCAGTACCCCAAGGACAAGACTGAGGACGTGGTTCCCCTTGTCTTCCTAATGTGGCCATAATGACCGAAGTTTCTTTCCTGCTTTCACTGTTATTTTTCCCATTTAGTAAAGGACAAGTGCCAAATGTGACTAGGACCCTGGCTTGGGGCTCCAATCTAGGATGAGTACAATTAGATACTAGCTAGAAAGGACCAGGTCTTCTGACACATTCTTGCAATTAGCAGCCGCAAGCTAGGTAGCATCTAAGTGTCTGCCAAACCTACAGTCAGGAGCTGTTGGTGATGACAGTTTGGAAGGGAAAAGATGAGCTGTTTACTCTGAACTTATGCTGGCCACTGATGAGGGTCCCAGGGCAGCTGGAAGCAGGAAGGGCCATGGGTTTGTACAGTCACTGAAGAGAAGTGTTTGTTTCTGGATTGGGGAAGTAAACAGGAAGGTTTGTGAGTCAAGATGTGCAGTCACAATGTGGATAGCTTCTCTCCTCCCTCGATTCTCTAGCCTCTAGTTGAATTCAGGATAGCTCAGACTCCTTCTGTGTCACTTTCTGATGGAGAGACGCAGGGTCAAGAGCAGTGGCACCACCTGTGATTCATTCTTGTCAAGAACAATCAATTGCCATCTAACCAAGTTCTCCTCCCTGACGTCCAGTCTATGATGTCAACCGGAAATACAGCAGGTCTTTGTTTCCAACAAGACACATGCGTSAGGCCCTAGTAGACCATGGAGTCATTTATACTCAAGTTCCCTATCATCAGCCTGGAACTGAGTTCTCATCTGCCTCCTGAGGAATCAGGATGTGGGGGCCCATGGCTCCCAGCCAGTGTCCTTCCTGCCCTTAATCATCACCGCTCTTAACCCCTAGGAAGACTGCCCTGAAATAACCCTGAAATAAATTTTCTATTACTCTGTCTCCCTAGACCTGCAGCTTACAAGAAAGTAAATTCAAAATGACTAATCTTTTTTTTATCAGAATTCTCTTTTTTTAATACCTTTATTTTATTTACTTTGTGTGGTGCTGAGAATGGAACCCAGTGCCTCACACGTGCAAGGCAAGTGCTCTACCGATGAGCCCCAGCCCTGACTCATCTTGTTGGTGGTTATTTTGCTTTTTACAGCCCTTCTATGTCTGTAGAACCCACCTCTTCTGCTCAGCAGCCTGTTGGAACTCTGATTCTATCTCGTGGAGTATTGCATATGAGTCTAAGGTCATAAAGCCACTAAAATGTTGGGGGCTTTTTTTTTTTTTAACCAGGGATTGAACTCAGGAGCACTTGACCTCTAAGCCACATCCCCAGCCCTGTTTTGTATTTATCTAGAGACAGAGTCGCWCTGAGTTACTTAGCACCTCGCCTTTGCTGAGGCTGATTTCAAACTCATGATCCTTCAAATCCACTGGGATTACGAATGTGGACCCCCATGYCCAGCTTAAAATCTTAGTTTGTTGCAATTTTGACAACATACAGGGAAGAGAAAAACAGAAAAGAATAAAAAATATGGGACATTTTCTGTGATAATTGTCCTGGTTCTTTAAAAATGACATCTTTATGGGGAGAAAAAAAGATGAGGGGGGACTGTTTTAGAATCAAAAAGATTTAACAAAAGGGGGAAAAACACCCACAATTTAGGACAACTTCATATGTCTGGAAAGGAGCTGATTAGTAGGTGATGTAAGTGTGACATTTTCACTGTTTCCAGGGGTGATACCTGGTGTTGATAGCCGTCATGGGGCTCCYGTGGGGCTGGGCAGAGGGGAGTGCGGGCAGTCTGCGTGTTTTCAACTGTAACGGCAGAGGTCCGTGGGTCACGGGTTCCCGTGATGCTGGCTGGAGGGGCAGTCTGTTTTCTGTTTTGCTAGACCATGCCTTCTCTCTCCTCTTTCCTCTGGCTGGAGTCAGAGCTTTACTTGGGGCTCTTTGGTTTGTTCTGTAGGCTTTTCTTAGCTGCAGGTTTCTTTTGAACCCAGTCTGGGAAACACAGGAGCCTGGCTTCCAACACAGCTAGGTGGTGACAAGACACCACCTGGTTCAGCCTGGGAGACCAG